GATATCTCATCCTCTTTGGACTCCTTGGATAGAAATCTCTTTGGATTCTACACAGAAATTTGTTTGTACTGAACTTATATGGTTTTCCATTTGGACTGGACTTATATGGTTTTCCATTTAGTAACTAAAATCTATAATTTTGATATGTAACCTTCTGATAAGTGAATGTGTTAAAAAGAATATTATATGAAAAATAAGGAAACATAACTTGTTTGATAACTTTATTTTTTGCACACCATATCAGTTTCTTGTTCTCAGGGAGCAGGATGCTGGGAGAGTAATTAACACAGCAAGGGTGCACAACCTGATTAAAGAGCAAATAAAGGTTTATCTAGGAATTAACATGCTTGATAGGAAAGAGGAGAGACAGAGATAGGTTCCTAACCACATCTCTAGCTGAGAGAGAGGGTAAGACTGAGTGTGGCACTTCTGAGAAGGGGGAAATTGCCCTGAGAGTAGCAATCTGGAGACAAGGAATGACATTTAAAAGGACAGAAGGTGCTGACCTCACTATCCTTTCTAACTGTCTTCTTCCTGTCCCCCGCTGGGTCTTCTTCTCTTCTTTTTTGTACACCAGACATTGCCTTTTCTAACACAGGGAGCAGAGAAAAGGCATGCTGACACAAATGAAGGAAACCTTTGGCCCAAGTTGACCTGCTTTCCCTTCCACAGGAAAAAGTGATCCTGCTGTTGGGGGCACATATTACAATATGAAGCCAGGCACTTAAACCCTCTCACTGCAAAAAATATGATTGCAACAAGCTCTAGCAGATGCTCCTGTCAACAAGCTTCCTTTCCCAAAACCTGTTTGATATCGGTTACACAGTTCTAAAAAACACAAATACTTTTATTCTAGAATGCTGGGAAATCTTCTAGTGGTGGGAAATTGGTTAGTGGTGAGGTGCAGCTGTCATGAAAACCTGTTGGCACATCTGTGAGATTCAGTCTAGACTTGGCTTTCTGTACCACCATGCAGGGCCCTAAAAAGGAAGCCTGGTTAAAATGACCCAGGTCTGGCCTAGCCCAGGGTTTGCTTTAATCCTGCTAGTTGTTGTGGTTGATTTGGGTGGTTAATTTAGTCTGTGAGATTATTTATTTATTTTATGATTTATACCCCGTCCTACCCCGCCAAGGCAGGCTCAGGGTGGCTTACACAAGATAAAATACCGATCAACAAAGTTTCATAAAATATTTAAGAACAGTTCATTAAAACAATACAATGTTAAAGTGCTAACAATATCGTTATGATGTTGTACAATGGTGTTACCGCATGAGTGCATGTCATAGTTGTTTCAGCTTCCAGCTCGCTGTCCATCCTCAGATATAATATGCGCACCTAGGCTGTCGGTAACCAACCAGGAACCAGGCTCTGCAGGCTGTTGTAGTTGTTAATGGTGGTGGTGGTTCCTAGTTGAAAGCATGATGGAAGAGCCCCATCTTGCAGGCCCTGCGGAACTGTGAAAGGTGCCACAGGGCCCTGATCACTTCTGGGAGCTCATTCCACCAGTATGGATCTGCCACCGAGAAGGCCATGGGCCTGGTTAAAACCAGCCTAGCGTCGTTAGTACCTGGGGCGGGCCAAACGGTTTTGTGACCCTGACCGTAGGGCTCTTTGGGGTATATATGGGGAAAGGCAGTCCCTCAGGTAAGTCAGACCCTGGCCATAAAGTGCTTTAAAGGTAAGAACCAGCACCTTGAAGCGAATCCGGTATGCTATCAGCAGCCAGTGCAATGCCTTCAGGGCAGGCTGGATGTGCTCCCTCACAGGGAGACCCATCAGAAGCCTAGCCACTGCATTTTGCACTAGCTGCAGCTTCCGGATCTGTGACAAAGGCAGCCCCATGTAGAGAGTGTTACAGTAGTCTAATCTCGAGGTGACCATTGCATGGATCACTGTTGCTAAATCGTTGTTTGAGGAAGGAAACCAACTGCCTAATCAGCCAAAGATGGTAAAAGGCTGACTTGGCAGTGGCTGTTACCTGAGCCTCCATTGTTAAGGAGGCATCCAGGAGCACTCTCAAACTCCTAACCTCCAGCACTGGCAGCAATGGTGCCCCATCAAAGGATGGGAGAGGGATCCCTACCCCTGGACCACCCTGACTCAGACACAGGACCTCCGTCTTCATTGTATTCAATTTCAGTCGGCTCAGTCTAAGCCATCCAGCCATGGCTTGTAACATCTGGTGCAGATCTTCTAGTCTGGAGCCAGACAGACCAACCAACATCAGATAGAGCTGGGTGCCATCAGCATACTGGTGACATCCCAGCCCATGACTCCAGGCAATCTGGGCAAGGGGGCACATGGAGATGTTGAATAACATCAGGGAAAGCACCGCCCCTTGAGGCACGCCACATCCCCAGCCCCCAATCTGTCCTTTACTAAAATTGATCTCCCCACTTCAGTGCCTCTGGACCTTTCTTACCTCCCTTGGATTTGCAGGTCAAAAGAGGCTATATGCTTGTGACAATGGCCCAGAATGGGAAAATTTCACAAGGTACTTTCCCCCCTTGTAGTACCACAATGTGAGAAGTTGCACTTGGAAGAGGCTTTCACTTTCTGCGACTCAATGCCATTACTACATTGTTTCCTCCATGTCCTGCTTTTCATCTCAGTACCTGTTTTGCTTTCTTTGCCATTTCTCCCACTACCCTCTACCCTCCAGTAATATGTAACTTCTCTTATCCTGTTTCATCTGTACTTTCTTTATTGGTCCACACTTTCTTCAGATCTCTGCCTCCTTCATCTATTTTTTTAGATTTGTCTCTCACACCACTGCTCATTCTGATCCCTTCCTTTAGCAATTTTGCTCCAGACCTATAGGACATCTTCTCAATCCACCTGCCATCGTTGCCTTCTGTCCCTATAGGAATCATAAGGTGGTTTGTCCAAGCAACACAGACCTTTTCTTGCAGAAGTCTCTATAGAGAAAGTCTACAGTTATTTATTTTCTCTGTAGTCAGAATGCTCATGAAATCACATCAGCTCAGCTAAGGTGCCAGACATTTCCTCACTACCACCACTAAATCCTGTAGTATATCACAATGTGGAGAAACCAGAACTCTCTAGATTTTAGATATATATTCTAAAAAAGTATTATTATACTAATATTAAATTGGCTGGTCCTTGCATGGATTACTAAAGCTGCTAAACCAGGCTGTCCAAATACAAGGTAGGGGTTTCCCCACGTATGCAGAAAAATGTGATTTTGTAAATTAACCAAAATAAAAGGAAGGCAACATAAAAACTATACTGGTGAGGACCAAAAATGCTCCACAAGAAAAAGAACATTGAGAACAAGCCACTGTCAGTTTAAGGGGAAACAGGGGTGGCAGAGAACCAACCTGTTCAAGTACCTGAAACCTAGCTTGTTTCCACCAATAGCAATGTGGCTAGCCTCTCACCAACCAGTATGGCAATAAAACACGGCCACCCATAAAGACGTTTTAGCATAGAGGGGATACCACAATTACGTTGTGTTGGGTGGCTGGTAGGTTGAACTTCCCTTAGACGTTTAACAGCATTTATCCCAATTCCATCCAGGATCTTTTACTAGGGGGTTACTCCTCCACTTAAGAGATCCTTCAAGGATGGTTAACTGGGAACAAAAGAGTAAGTGCTTCCACTGATCCAGTCTGATTATTTTAGAGTCAGAGGAACTTGGCAGAGGGATGGAATGGGAGCATATGCATGGGCAGGCAACTCCCCCCCCCCCTCTCTCCCTGCAACATTTTCCCAGCCCCCAATTTGTCCTTTACTAAAATTCTATTGGGAGCTGTGGTGGCTCAAGTGGTTAAGACGCTGAACTGCATGCTGTGGAAGGTCGATAGTTCAGCAGTTCGAAACCCAAGCGTGCAGCATGAGGGAGTGAGCACCCTCTCTAGTTCCAGCTCCTGCCAACCTAGCAGTTCAAAAGCAAGAAATTGCAAATAGATCAATAGGTACCACTTCAGTGGGAAGGTAACAGCGTTCCGTGAGCCTTGGTGTGTAGTCATGCCGGCCACATGACCACGGAAATGTCTTCAGACAGTGCTGGCTCTTCAGCTTTGAAACGGAGATGAGTACCGCAACCCTAGAGTGATTCGAGAGCAAGGGAACCTTTACCTTTACGTAAAATTCTATTGACGGCCATTCGGGCTGTTTGCCCTCCCCTCCCACACACCTTTAAATATAACTAAAAAAAAAACCCCGGTTGATTAATGTATTTGATTGATCAGCAAATGGTGGATAGGTTCATACTGGCGTTCTCGCCAACGAACACTACGCAGCTGGTGGAATTCCCTGTAGTAACACCTTTAAAATAGGCTCAGGCAGGCCGCTTCAAAACGTGAGGGAAAATTCCGGCGCGGAAAGGTCTTTCTTACTGCCTCCCAAGCCTGAAAACTGTAACTTTTTTTTATTATTTTGGAACGCAGCGAAAACAAGACGACGAAACGAAGCCCTTTCCAAAAGAGGAAGCGTGACCCGAGGCGTTCTTTGTCCACCTGCGGGAGCCTATCGAGGGCTCCGTGAGGGAAACAAAATACGTGAGGAGAACAGGAGACAAGACTTCTCTCGGGAGGCACGCGCAGGATCGGTTGCGCGCGCAGAGCCACAGAGAGAGTGTTCTGTTGGAGCGACCTCACCCCTTGTCGCAGAGAGGGAAGATCTAAAGTCGAGCGCGCGCCGGGAGGGAGGGGGACAGTAAAAGGAAGCGGCCTCGCGCTCATTCCTCCACATACATGTGTCCACAGCTCCCCCCCCCCCAGATCATTTCACGCACCTTCTTGTGCGAGGGAAGTGAAAGAGGCGGGACTTGACTTGGAACACTGGCTTCCGGCGCCGATCGTCCCCGCGCAGCCAGGCACCGGAAGTGGGTACTGGCCGCGAGGAAGAGGAGGAGGCAGTGGCTGTGTGAGGGAGTACGAGCGCGAAGTGCGTGTGCGAGAGAGGCGGGGAGGGAACGCGCCGGAGAGCGAGCGGAGGGGCGCGCGCGTGCGTGCGTGAGAGGAAGAGAGAGAGAGCGCGAGGGAGAGTGTGAGTGAGGAGAGCCGGAGCGCAGGCAGGCAGGCAGGAAGGGCCTGACGACGGTGGCTGAAGGAATAGGAAGAAGAAGATGGCGGACGGGGACAGCGGGAGCGAGCGAGGGGGCAGCGGGAGCGGCAGCGGAGGTGGCGGCGGAGGAGGAGGAGGCGGCGGTGGCGGAGGAGGCGGCGGATTCCAGGGGCATCGTGGCGGCGGCGGCGGGCCGGGCCCGGAGCAAGAGACGCAGGAGCTGGCGTCGAAGCGCCTGGACATCCAGAACAAGCGCTTCTACCTGGACGTCAAGCAGAACGCCAAGGGCCGCTTCCTGAAGATCGCCGAGGTGGGCGCCGGAGGCTCCAAGAGCCGCCTCACGCTTTCCATGGCGGTGGCCGCCGAGTTCCGAGACTACCTGGGAGACTTCATCGAGCATTACGCCCAGCTGGGGCCCAGCAGCCCTGAGCAACTGGCGCAGGCCTCGGCCGGGCCCGGCGGGGAGGACGGCGGCGGAGCCGGAGGGCCTCGGCGGGCCCTCAAGAGCGAGTTCCTGGTGGGGCAGCAAGAGCCGGCTGACGCTCTCCATGTCGGTGGCGGTGGAGTTCCGCGACTACCTGGGCGACTTCATCGAGCACTACGCGCAGCTGGGCCCCAGCCAGCCCCCGGAGCTGGCGCAGGCGGCGGACGAGCCCCGGCGGGCCCTCAAGAGCGAGTTCCTGGTGCGCGAGAACCGCAAGTACTACATGGATCTGAAGGAGAACCAGCGCGGGCGGTTCCTGCGCGTCCGGCAGACGGTGAACCGGGGCCCGGGCCTGGGCTCCACGCAGGGCCAGACCATCGCCCTCCCGGCCCAGGGCCTGATCGAGTTCCGCGACGCCCTGGCCAAGCTCATCGACGACTACGGCGTGGAGGAGGAGCCGGCCGAGCTGCCCGAGGGCACCTCCTTGACGGTGGACAACAAGCGCTTCTTCTTCGACGTCGGCTCCAACAAGTACGGCGTCTTCATGCGGGTGAGCGAGGTCAAGCCCACCTACCGCAACTCCATCACCGTCCCCTACAAGGTGTGGGCCAAGTTCGGGCACACCTTCTGCAAGTACTCGGACGAGATGAAGAAGATCCAGGAGAAATCAACCGGGGGCCCGGCGGCGGGGGAGGCGGCGGAGGCGGGCCGGGCTTCCCCGGAGGAGGCCCCCCAGGTCTCCAGAGCGGCCAGACCATCGCCCTGCCCGCCCAGGGCCTGATCGAGTTCCGCGATGCCTTGGCCAAGCTCATCGACGACTACGGAGCCGACGAGGACGAGCTGGGAGGTGGCGGCGGCGGAGGGGGCCCTGGCGGCGGAGGCCTCTACGGCGAGCTTCCCGAGGGCACCTCCATCACGGTGGACTCGAAGCGCTTCTTCTTCGACGTGGGCTGCAACAAGTACGGCGTCTTCCTGCGCGTCAGCGAGGTGAAGCCTTCTTACCGCAATGCCATCACAGTTCCCTACAAAGCGTGGGCCAAGTTCGGCGGGGCTTTCTGCCGCTATGCCGACGAGATGCGAGACATCCAAGAGCGCCAGCGGGATAAGCTCTACGATCGACGAGCTGGCCCCGCCGGACCGGGAAGCGGCAGCGGCGCCGGAGACGATTCCGACGGAGACGATGTGGACGACGACTGAGCCTCTTCTTCCTCCCTGCCCCCCATCGCGTTGACAACCTCCCTCCCCAACCACCTGCACTCTACCACGGAGGTTGCCATGGGGGGGAGGACTGGTGAAAACAGGGAAGAAGCCAGATCCCAAGCCTTCCTTCTTTCCTTCTATCAATGGGGAGAGAGCGAGTGAGCAACGAGATTACCTGCATACACCCACTGACCTGCATCACTTCTGGAATGGCCCCTTCAATTCTTGTCTCCCCACTCTTTATTTTTCCCGAGGATACAACATCCGTCAGCCCACCAGCCCATCATGAAAGACTGGGCTTTACATCATCATTGTCCTCACCTTGGGGAGAGAGAAATCCCTATGACCTCAGTTCACTTCGACCCCACCCCAATGTTGTAGGGAAGGAGATCATTGTGATCTGAATCCACCCTGGCCTTCCAGATATGTTTTATTTCGGGGAAATGGGGGATATAAGTTATTTGGATGTCATCTTCTCCCCCTTCCCCCTTGCATTTTTGAGGTCATGTCCTCCACTGAAAACCAGCATCTTGGAGACTATATGGCCACTGAGCACAGTTTGAAGGGTGGGGAGAAGCCACTGCAGCTGTCCAGATCCTTGGGGGTGGGGATGTGTGCAGATCCTGATGGAGCAGCTTGTTCAGGGTTGTAAAGATCAATAATCATGGGCTTAGTCCAGCACAAATCGGGGTATTAAGTGCAACAGTGAGGGGGACAAAGTGGGTGGGCAGGGGGAAGGAACAAGCAAAAAAACCTAGAGCTTTGAAAAAATGTAGTTGGGAGGGGGGAGCCTGTATCTGGACCAATGTCCATTGTCCTTTTTTTTCCTTTGCAGAATTGTTGTTTTATTTCTGGGATGCAGATTGCTAAACTCCAGGTGCCTGAACTGGAATTGATAGATTAATTAATTTAACTCTGGCAGTTTCTAAAGATATTAAATGGTATTTTCTTTTCTTTTTTAATGGGGGTTGCAAACAGGTAGGTTAAAGGAAAAACAGGCATAAAGCACAAGGAATGCAGAATGGACGAGTTGTTGCTCACTAAAGTTCTTCCCCTCTCCAAATAAGGTGAAAGAGCAAATTAGGAGGGAGACATTGGAGCTGCCTTTCCACAGGCTTCAAAAGATGACCCAGTCAAATAAGTGGAATCTGGTCTGAAGCTGGGTCTTACAGAAAATCTTAAAATTGTAATCTTGCAAACAAAGCATGTGGCTAAAAGACTGATTAGGAAACTGAAGGCTTCTTTCATCGTGCAAATCAGTGGACTTTTTCCGTGAATACAGTCATCAAGAACCTCAGGTCCAGAAGTCCGGTATCAGTTATTCTTTTTAACAAGATTCTTTTTTTTAAAGCAAAAAGCGAACTCAGTCCATTTCCTCAGTACCTCACGTTATGTTAACAGCAGAGTTGGCAAGCATAGATTGATGGTATGGATTGTTCAGAGCAATGCATGCCTTGTGCAAGCTTGATATCCATTGTTGAAAAGGAGCAGAAACAAACCGTCAAAGTTCTGTGACTATGAACATACCCTAGCAGCATTTTACCACCTTCAGATTTTAATGTAGACTGGCTACTGCCCATTGTCCAATTATCTTTCCCAAATGAAGTTGGGTGTCCCCACACCCACCCAAGGAATTGCCTCATCTATATTTTAAATGGATTCTTATCTAAAATGGTATTTTTTTAAAACAATGTCAGTCCTGGCCCCTCCAAAAAGATGTTTTTAGATACATTATATACTAGCAACTTTGAACTGAATGGGTATTACTCTGTTCATTGCAAAGTTTCAGGTATTATTTGCGTGACATCTTAGAGGCAGGTAAACCTTCCTCTACAATCTATTTAGTATTTTTAAAATTGTGCATGCCTGTACTTTATTTGAGCTGCCTTTTTAATTTATTGCATACCCTTATTACCTTATTTTGGTATTACTTTTATCTATCCTATCTTTGTTTTATATTTATTAGTAAGCAAGGAGACATATAAAAGGCATTTCTTCACACAGGTGTGGCTGGAGTGGGGAAACTGGCTGGAATTTTCTGTTTAAAAAATAGTTTTGCTGTAGTTATCGAGATCAGCAAATAATTTCAGAGTAGTTTGTCACAAAAATTTCTGCCACACAAATGATTGTCTATTTTACAGCTAATTCTTTACTCCCAGTGTCCATAGTAGATCTTTTATCGTATCTTTGAAGAAACTTTTCTTTCCATTTTTCTCCGTCGCAAAGAACTTGTTTCCTGAATTGTAATGGGAGCAATAGTATTTCTTGATGTTTTAATTACATCTGTATACTTGTACTGTATTTTGTACTCTCCAAGGCAGCTGTTTTCAATAATGTCCTGCTGTATTTACCTATGTATTTTTGTTCAAATGTATGTGGTTCTTTGCTGCGGAGAACAATTTTCACCAACAAAAGTTTCAGCGGACAGATTAACTGGGATACCGCAGCCCTCTAAGATTGCAGAAACAGTCTGCTTAATGAATTAGAACTCTAGGCAGCAATGAAAATTAAGCCTGCAGATGCTTGGTGTATATTGCTGTAACTCTTCACTCATTTTAAAACAATGTATAATATTTGTATAGACCAATGATGTTTTGTTGCTTCAGTGGTAATTGGTTTTTTTCTTTTGTTGCTCAGCTGCTGTGAGCCAATTAAGTTCTTGCAAAGATGCAGTACCTCTCCTTTTCAGGAGGATTTTTTGGCTGAATTGCAGTAACTAGCCTTACCTTTGTATTATGTGGTAGTGACAGGGTTTTGATTGTCCCTGGCCAGTGGCTACATAAGCTATAATTAGCTGCCTAGGAAATATGTGGAAGTGGACAGGAGCATATATCAATTGTATGCCAAGAACGCTGCCATATATGGTATTGGCTTTGGCAAACAGAAAGTCTCCTTTAGCCATTAGTTAAACCAATGTATATTGAATACACAGATTTGTACAAGTTGACACATGACCCTTCAAGATGTATAGGTGGTGACAATACAGTGTGTCAGTAATAGCATCTAAATTACAATACTGGCCTGTGCCCTCTTAAGTATAAATGATAGGTTTTTAAATTTTAACTAATACTGAGGTTAATGGCCAAGCCTCTTGCTGTGGGAAAATTGGTCATAGTGGCACATGTTAGGTGCAGAGGTTCACTGAGGAAATTGTTCTTTCTTCTTATTGGGCAATAGAACTCTGGAGAGTGTGGGCAATGAGGGAAGAGGCTTGTCTGAAATGTACAGCTTTGAACGTGTTTTCCCCTGCAGAACTTTGAATTTGTGTGCTTAAAACAGTGGAGACTACAAAGATCATTTCAGGGTCTTTTAGAAGCATTTATGGCCTCTAATTAAAGAAGAATAATTATTGAAGTAGGCTGTGATAGAAATCACCTCACCCTGACTGCACAAGCCACATCTTAAAAATCACGCTGCTTTCTAAGCTGGTAGTTTCTCAGTTTTCTCTGTGCATATTCTAAATAGGCAACCTTATGCCTATTCAGAGTAGCTGCTGTATGTGATGGGATAGTCAGTCACATTGGAAAAACGTAACACCTGGATTGTATCTGAGATGAGCAAATCCTGTTATTCCTGTTTATATTCTTGTGCATAAAAGTCAATTTTGGTAAGCCCCCCCCCCCCTTTGGTGTTGCAGTTAAATCATATCTTGGATTTTATCTGCAGCACTGTTGACAATGCTTCGCTGCAATTTACAACCACTGGATCCAGCATACCTGTGCTCATATTAGCTCAGTTGTAGTAAAGTTACTGGAGTTAAGATGTTGCATGTTGAGGTATGCCGATTTAAGTGGCTTGTGGATCAACTGTCCTTTTAAAATGTAGATTCCATAGGGGGGAAATTGGACAGCCTTTCTGGTGAGTTCCTGCATATCTGGCATTTTTAGACTTCTATTGTCCTTGGAATTATGATTCTGGAATGCAACTGTCAAAGCATCTGCTGTACAAAAAGTGTAAATCTTGTATAGCACCAAAATTGTAAATATTTGAGGCATACAGGTTTAAACACCCGTAGCTTTAGCTCACATCTAGTTACGGGTTCATTTTCTTATTTCCATAGCTGTCTAACTGCAAAGCAGTTCTAGGCCTAACAGTGAAGGCTGGCTTTTTTTCTCTCTCTCAAAGTTAGCCAGCACTGTTGCAGACCCTGGAATGATCTTTGCAATAAATCAGATCTTTTTTTAAAAAGTGAAGATTCAAGCTTCTGCTTCCGTTTTTTCCCCCAAAACACACTTAATTATCCTGTCCTATTTGCATAGTTTTCAGGATAATGGGCACAAGAGGCAGGCTACGATAAGTCCCTCATATTGAGTGGTCCCATCATTGACTGCACACTTCAGGTATTGGAATAGCTGAGGGTGACTTGTGACAGTGTGATCTGCTCCAACCGTTAAAGGGGGTGTAGTGTATTGACTACACAGGACATTTGAAAAGTAACTAACTCAGGCTACTTTTCTCTTGTGAGGGTGGCAGTTTTGTGATTTTTGTGGAAAACTGTTCAATGCATAAAAATGCGTGGACATCTCAAAAGTTTTAACAGATTATGGTACTTTATCTGATGCACAATTTAATCTCTCAGCAGATATTCAGTTTTTATTTAAAAACAAACAAACAAACTTGTGGCCTTGACTCTAACTTTGTGGAAGGGAGGAGAATCTAGTTTTCCCTATATGAAAGTGGCACTTTTTTCCGCTTCAAATTATTCTAATTCTACACACTTAGTAAACATGTTCTTCATATGCTTCCTTTTTTAAGCAAGTAAAATGGTAAATATCTTGAAGTATGTTTGCTATGAATTGCATTTAGTTTTATAAACATAGTATAATTAGGGTAATCAATCTATTTGAGACTAAATATTACAAATTTAAAAGATTCTGATAATCTTAAAATGGCTGTATTTCTGAGAACAATTTTAGTTTTCCCTAGCAGAACCCTTGAGGTGTATCTACGTTACCAACATACTATTTAATACCAATAGAACTGTGATGACTTCTCCAAAGAGTGTTGGGATTTGGTTTAGTGAAGGTGCCAAGGGGTTCTGTTGGACATCCATAGCTTTCCATAGAAAGCTATGAATTCATTTACTGTTTAAACCGGTGATGTAGATATGCCCCAACCTGTTGCACTCATATTAGTCTTCTGCAGTTGGATGCTCAAACCTTGTTACGTCTGTATAAGGTAGGGGCAGGTTTCTTGTTGTGTATTTCATTCTTGGTTATTTGTTCACTTTGGATTTGCAGTGTAAATACATAGCTTCCTTTCCCCCATGTACTTCTTGATAGTCTGGTTTCCAGGTTTGTTAAGGGTATTTAGAAAGCTCGCCTATTGTCCAGTAATGCTGCTTATGGTAATTTAGTGTCAGCAAGATTACTGTATTTAGATGTTGTGCTTGAGCATTAGCGAGATCATCTTACTTGTCGGATGAGGTATACCTCTTAAAATTGCACACTTGTGTATGATTTATTAGATTGATGGAGTGTTGCTAAGGTTGGGAAGTCTGATTGTAAAATAAGAGAATTCTTCCATTTCCCCTCTTGCAGGTTCTGAGAAACCTCATCTTTTGCACTTTGTGGTTTTTAGCTAACACAGGAAGAATGGAGGAAGAACAAAGATAATGTAGTACTGTTGCAGATTGCTTTGATGAGGTATTGTAACATTGGAGAGAGAAGCATGAAACAGGTGTTCAGCTACTTAAGGTTTTTACTCCATAGAAGTTTAATTTCAGAAGGAGATACGGAATATCTGAATGTGGCCACCAACTGCTGCCTCCCATTTTTATAGCAGGGCAGTTACTTGCCATGGTGCTAGACTAAATTCATCTTGATACAATCAGATTGCTTCTTTTTTGTAATATATGGTAGCATGAATTTTTCCCCATAATCATCACACATTCTTTTATAGTTGTGAGGAGTAAGCAATAATGCTATGGCTGGGATCCAAAAACTGAACAATTCTGTGTAACAGAACAGTCCTATGCAGAGTTACTCCATTCTGAGCCCACTGACTTTGTTAGACTGGAGCAACTCTGCATAATGTTTCCCTGTAAGTGGAACTGGACTTGTCTTTTTAAAAAATAGAACCCCCATGCTGCAAGTTACTTTCAAAACTGAGAGGAGTTCTAAAAGCATTGTGGCAAGGGAGAACCTGTGCTCTGAGTCTAAAATCTCATTGAGTACATGCATTTTCACTGAATGTATCTAAAATAATTAAGTCCTGTTCTATATTTTTCACCTTAACATTGCAGCTGTATAATTTAAGCCTAACGTTTAATCTTGCCTGGTTTGGAAGGGTAGAATTATGCCACAGTCTGTGGTTGATGGGACCATTCTTGGAGGCTTTTGAGAATAACAGCTTCACCACTTGGTTTCCCCCCCCAAGCTTTAGTGTTTAGTGATGGCTACCCTGTTTTGGGTATAACAAAGGGCATTGAACGTGTCATAGTTCTCACCTAATAATAATAGAATGCCCCAGAATTGACTGATTAAACTTCCAGTGAATTACCACCTTGTTTAGTTTCCTTTTGGAATTGCTAATTTTTTGCTAGGCATTTCACTCCACCTCTGCTGTTTTTAATCTGACAAAGGGAGAGTGAGAGAGCTCAAGAGTTCAGTGCCTACTGGAAATACCAACAAAGCTTTTGTCTCTGAAATTCCGTATAGGGAAGGTTAAGTGTGCTTTGTCAAAGGCGTTTTGTAATATGCTGCTATGTAGCCTTAATCTCGTAATGTACTGTATATATAAGCATACACACAGAGTAAGCAGCCCACAACAAAGAAGCAGAATGTTCTCATTTGTCAAAGCTATTATCAAAATGCAGGAAAAATTTGTCCCACTCCAGTTTACCACTACTCTGTAGCCCAGGTAGACAAAACTTGCAGAAAGAACTTAATTTAAAACAGCAGTCACTATGCATCATTTTAACGTAGGCAGGTTTCCAAGGCAAGATGTTTAATTTCCTGCCCTGCTCTTCTATGATGAAAGGCCCATCTGGTTAGAAAATCCCATCTTTGAATTTATGTGGGATTTACAAGAAAAATATAGCTTAATCTCTTTGTTTCTTCCCACTGCTCTCTATTCAGAACTGGAGTTTTTTGTCTCATGCAAGTGGTAACACTATTTTAATTTAAGAGTGCCATGATAAATGGATTCCTAAATTATGTCCTGTCTTACACGTACTGTGTGAATGTTTCTATTTTACCAGTATTTTTGTGGGATGGCCAGCTGGGCCCTCAATAACATGAGCTGTTCTCCATGCTAACTTCCTTTCCCAACAATCCATTCTGGTATATGCTCAGTAGAAAATACGGCACTATGTATTGCTGATGCCTTTGCTCTTTATTAGTTAACAATGAACTCTGCAGAAAGATAGTGTCTGTGTAATGGGGTGGTTTTCAAACTGCTCCTGTATTTCTGGAGGTTCATCATTAACAAGATTGCTTGTCCAATATCAGTACACCAGTTCAGGTGCGGGTAGGAGTGTTAAGATATACTCTCAGTTTGTGAGAGAATATGGTAAGGCCTAATAGACCTAGCCAGTACTCCTACAAAAGAGGAGATTTTGCACCCCAGAATTCTCTGCAGTACAGGAGTTGTCTGTAATGGGGAATGGGTTCTGGGGTACAGAGTTTGAAAACTGCTACTTTAAAAGTAAAAAGAAAGCACTGAGTCAGACCCTGTTGTGGTAGGCAATTGCTGTCTTCCATCCTTTGCCAAGACCTGTGGAACAAGCGTTTGTGATCTGGTTTGGTGGGATTGCTGTTCTTCACTGCTTAGTCGAATTAACAACTGCACAGAGTGGATCCAGTAAGCACAAGTCATCCATTGAAATTGGATGATGGTGCACCTTAGTTGTGCTTACTGTCTTAGCCTCCCAAGTCTTTTCTAGTAGAGGATATAACAACTAGCTGCCTCTGCCGACTTGAGGTATTCTTCACTGCAGATATTACAAGTCATGTTGGTCAGTTTTCGTGCTTATAGATTTGTCAAAAGTGAAGTGCAAGGCTGTGAAAAATGGGCAGGGTTGTAGGGGATCATTGCCTTCAGGGGAGTGGACATTTTGTTGGCCTGAATGTACAATTTTAGTAGAGCGCAAGTAGTTTAATTTGGTGCCGAGTTGACTTGTGCAAGTGATATAATTGATCATACATGGATGTAATCAACCCATATGTAAATATACACATGTTTGTACATTGTATACATAGAAAGAGATGTCTGTGTACATGTGTATGTATTTATAAAATTGTTTCTCTGCTAGATAGTAAATGCAAAAGTAGCTGTTATTTTATATATATATTATATATATTAAAAACTCCCCTCTATAAATATATTATATAAATGCTAGAAGTTAATTTGTAGAAAAATAGGACTGATTTCAGGAATATCTGCTGAGAGACCAAAAAGTTCACTTTTAAGTACCTTAATTAAAGAATAAAGTTTATTCCTCGTTTATTTTTTTATAAAAAAATTAAATGCACTTTAACTGGCAACACATACAGCTGCATGATGCAGTTTCAAACATGGAAATGTTTTAAAAGTGCAGCACCCATTCAAAAAATATTCTTTTCTCACCTGTCAAGCAGAACGCTGGAAATTATTTGAAATTCCAGGGTCTGAACTGCCTGTTTGTCTTGCTGCCCGTTGGCTGAAGCTTAGATTCTGATTTCCCTTTTGGGGGGGGTAGCAGGACTGCTTTTTAAACAGCAATGCAGGTACAGCCAAACACTACAGGCTGTCAAATAAAGGCAGGTCCTGGATTTACCACTAGCTAACTAGCAAAAAACAAAACAGTCCAAATGACATTAAGAACTCCTCATGCTAGTTGAGCACTCCTTAAATAGCAGGTTTTTGCAAATGGAGTTTTACAGTCTATATTTAAAAAATTGTATGTTTGTAACAAATAAAAGTATGCAGAAAAGTGAATGAACCATGCACAGTAGTCTCTGGGTTGTTTTTTTTTTTAATTGGGAGAATTGTGTTTTATGTGATGCAATTGAAGGTTAATCATTTGTTTAGTACTCTGTTGGTTCTATCATGGGTTGAATCCTCTTATAGTAAAACATCTGTTCATTCAAGGGTGGAAAATATCTAAGTATGCAAGCAGATCAAATAAAGAGTTGTTATATGATCTTTTAGAAAAGGGACCTTTGGGCTACTAAAGTTGATAGAGAACGAAGAGGGCTGTTCTGTCTGATCTGCAGCATGGAAGGAGATGAAGTGGAGCTGATAGCACTTCTTCCTCTTACCAATTGGTGGAAGCAGGTACAGAGGACTGAGGAGCACTTGGTCCCACATCTAGTGTTCTCTGTCCAGTACCTACCTTCTAGTTGTCAAACTTAATTTGCTTGTAATTGGTACCTGCCCCTAAAGAACAAGGCAGGTAACGATTGCACAGCAAGTCTTGTAGGAACAGTGCTGTTTGCAGTTTTGCTTGTTGAGAACTAAGGCTCAGAGATGGTAAACTTGATTCAGGCCACCCAGTGAGGTTAAGGTTGCATTGGGATTTGAATGCAGAAACTCCAGTATTCTTACCTGCTGGATCACATTCTGTCTTAACTGGTACATGAACATAAAGCTGCCTTATATGAGATAAGGCCATTCGTCCATCAAGCTGAGTGTTGCCTCTAGCAGTTTTCTAGGGGCTCAGACACAGAAGTTTTTTCTGACCACCTGTGCTTTGAAATGTCTGGGTTTGAACCTGAGATCTGCTTGT